GCTCCTCCTTCCTAGGAAAGGCCATATATACATGACTATTCTAAAAGTTTACAACATTTTTTTATCTCAAGAAACATAATAATTGATAATAATTTACATTGAACATATTATATACAAGATATATTTGTTGATGCCACCCAGAATAAGTCTCATATTTGTTGTATCTTTTTTTATATGGAGGTCAAATAATTTCTACATTCTCATAGTACTCTGTATTTTCCTTTGCAGCACTGAAGAGAATTTTAGTAGTTAATTACAAGATATTTAAAAATATTCTTTATAGAGTGAAAATAATTTTTTTTAAAGAGAGAGTGAGAGAGGGGAGAGAAAGAGAGAGAGAGAGAGAGAATTTTTAATATTTATTTTTTAGTTCTCGGCGGACACAACATCTTTGTTTGTATGTGGTGCTGAGGATCGAACCCGGGCCGCACGCACGCCGGGCAAGCGCGCTACCGCTGAGCCACATCTCCAGCCCGAGTGAAAATAATTTAATATAGCTTTTTATATCTTTATCCTTCCTTCTGGCTTTATTTTCCTTTTTACAGAAGCATATTCTTTAGTAATTCTTTCATCATGAATAAATAAATAATAAATTTTAATTGTATTATTTTATATAAAATCAGTTGTATGTCTGAATACATTTTGCCTTTATTCTTAAATCACAGTTCACCTGGAAGTTGAAATTTAGCCTAGAATTTTAAAGATTTTCTAACATCTATTATATTCTAATACCTATTGTTGATGATAAGTCTGCTGTGGATATTGTTATCCTGTAAGTATTCTGTCTTTTGTATTTAGTAGCTTTTATTATACCATCTTGGTCATTTGATGTTTTGAATTTCATTCAGAGCTATTTAAGTATGGATTCACTTTTGTTTGTTCCACACTGGTAGAGCTTTATTCAACCTAAGGATTCATGCAAATTGGAATTTATTAAGTGTCAGTCATTTATATAAAATATTTTCTATTCTCCATGCTCTCCATATTTGCAATCTGGAATTCTTTTTATGCATATGCTTAAGTTTTTTATTCTATTATCCACATCCTGTATGACTTTTAGCAAAGCAATTTTCTCAGCATCTTTTCATTAATATATTACTTTCTACCTATGGATTCACTTTTTCAAAAGCTGTTTGTTTCAATATTTTTTTATTTATAGACTTTGTTTTTTTTTATATCTGCCTGTTAACTTTTAAAAATGGCGTGTCCTTGAAAATTTTTATTTTGCTTTTTACTTCTGGACATTAGAAATGTTTATTTCAAAATTATTTTCTAATTGTCCTCTCATCTTTAACTTCCTTATGTGTATATTTGATTTTTTTATTTTCTGCTAACACCAATTGTAAAAATAATATTTCTCCACATTCATTGTAAATTTTAGTCCATGAGCTTATTTTGTACAGAAGTTCCACATGAGCATTTAGTTATGGTGGTATCCTTATTGTGGAATTTTGTGCTTACATTTCCTTGGGCCATCTGAGATTAATTGCCAAATGCAGTTTACCAAAGATGTATTATAATTTTTCAGAGTCCTTATTATTTTATTTTCTTATCTTGCTCTTCACCTTCCTGTAGAAAATAAGAATTCAGATATAACTCCAACAGCAAGTTTATATAGAATCATGTCCTTCATTGATAGAGTCACCAGCTTTGCATGAACTTTCCAACAAATATTCTGTGACTCTGGACAAAACTATCTGTCCATGGATTATGGAATTTTATGTGCAATAGCACTGAAAAAAAATGTATCAGATATCTGTTAACTTTTTAAACAAATGGAGCATGCTGAGTGTAATTCTCTTAATGAGATAAAATATATATTTTTTTAAATTTTTAGTTGTAGATGGATACACTATCTTTCTTTTATTGATTTATTTTTATGTGGTACTGGGGATCAAACCCAGTGCATCACATGTGCTAGGCAAGCACGCTCCCACTGAACTACAATCCCAGCCCCACATATTGTGTTTTTCAAATAATGTATCTTTCAGTGTTGTACAGAAATAAAAAGAAAACATTGACTCATTGAGCTCACAATGCAGCAGATGTTTTACAAATATTATGTTGTTCCATCATCACTGATACCATTGTAGATGAGGAAAATGAGGCTTAAAAAGGTCAACCCATGATCATACAGCTAGTAGAACAAGTCACTGGGATTTAAATTAAGGATTATCCAATGCAAAGATTGTTCTTTCTACTAGACACTGCTGTTGTAATGAATCCTACAAAAATTTCCTTATGTCCAGTTTCCAGTCAGTGCTTGATAATGAGCAACCTAGTCTCTAAATCAATAGGAAATAAAACCTGAATGTTTATTTTCTAAGTAGAATGAGAGTTTTCCTCTGGTGAATATATGGGGAACTCTTAAAACTGCCTTCTTCCTGGTCTGTTGTCCCTTCTTAATGGGCTCCTAGTTTGTCCTGAGAACCACTGTTTATTGATATAGTCTATCATGCACTGGTTTGCACTCCTGTCTGGCTGTGGGCTGCTTCATGGTTCCCTCAGACAAAGTCCCAGGGCTTTTCTGAGATTTACTACAGTCATATTTAATTCTGACACAGACACTTACGTGCATTAAATTTACACCGCTTAGCCAATTTCCGAGTCTTCATCTATGAAATAAAGAAAATTAACTTCTTATTTTAAACTTAGTTCTCAAATTCTAGGCACTTTAGAGTGCTGTCTATTCTCTTGAATTGCTACTGTCAAGACATGGAAGACTAACTACAAATCTCAAGTTTATATCTAGAGCGATCAGAAAGGGACCAGTTAGAAGAAATAAAGATGAGAGAAACAGAAAGAGAATGAAGGGGAGGTAAGGAATTTTGAAGCTATGACCATCTATACTGCATGAAGGCCATGGTAGAATTATTTCAGACACAACTTCTCATTTAAACTGTTATCCTGTAGCTATCTTAAGTGATTCCATTGTGAAAGCATTGGGAAGCAAGATTCTAATTAATGTGTATGGTGAAATCAACTTTTCAAATACATTTGTGGTCAGTGGAATACAAAGATACATCTTGGATATATCTTTTTCTATTTATATATTTATGCATCACTCTACATATCTACCTATATTCTATCATCCTTCAGTTATAACTAAATCCAATTAAAATATAATTGTGATATTGATTATAATTCATACATGTTGGGATTACATCTATCATCATGGACAATCAAGAATTAACATTAAAGAAGCCCCCATCACACAGACCTAAATTTTCGAATTTTCATAAACAGAACTCAAGAATAGTTTTTAATGAAATAAATCTCATTATTTTACTATAATTCACTTTAAATTTTTAAACCATTTCTCATATCTTTCTTTTATTTCACCAATCATTATGTTGTACAAATATTTGTTAAGAGCCTACTATGTCTAGGGATATACATCCTTTTAAGTGGGTGATTTATGAAGATTTTTAATTCTGTATTTATTTAAACATAAAGCTTGAGTAATTTAACTTGACTAGGTTGTTAACAAATTGGATGCTTCATACTGGGTGTATTCAGACAGGGAAAATTGAAATGCAGAAAAGAGTTGGTCAGATCATTCAAAGCAGGGGACTTGTGCGTAAATGACCTATTAAATCAAGACAAAGCTATTTTATTAGTTTTTTTTCTATATGGTTGCTTTAATCTCTCACTTCATTTTGCATCTGCAGATACAGTTTTCTGTTAGTGTAAGCTTGAGTGATTAATGACATATTATGTTCATAACATCTAGTATGAAGAATAATAGGCTGAAACGTTCAATCAGTTAGAATTAGACTTAAAATGTAATACAGTTTCAATCTTTTTTAGATTATTCTTTCCAAGTACTCAGAATATTCAACTGCTATTAAACTTTGGGTCACTGGATTTCATAGAAAACAGTATATAAGTGAACTTTCTTAAAGTATAAAAATAAATAATAATAATATGTAGCATATTTTCTGTATATGTTTATAGTTATTTTAATTGTCTTAGACAAATTTAAAGTATATGCCCTATTAAATGGAATTAACAATATCATAAAAATTTCCCAAGAAATCTCATTTATGGGCTGAACCACATGCATTTGTCATTTACATAGGTCAAAATGGTTGAATGTCTGTTTGCTTCATATTATTCAATCCAACATAATTATAAAGCCTTATTGTTCAGACTTTTATAATCTGGTCTTTTGATGTATTTTGTTAGATATTTACAGATTGTCTTCATTCCTCTTCACTTTACAAGAACCCGGAATAGGAAAAGAAAATGCATTTGTCAGAAAATCTTTGTAGTTTGTACCTTATTACAAATAAAAATCTAAGTCCAAGATTACAATTTTAAATTGCCTTTTGAAAGAGAGAAACACAAACATTCCATTCAGTTGTTAAAAAGAAGTCATTCCTTTTCATTTTGGCTTGTACCATTTCTGTAATGACATTATATGGTATTGTTCATCTGACATCAGTTTCCAACCATCTTGCTAGGCACCAAGTTTTTCTAATAATCATTGTGACTTACTAAGAAGTTAACCAGGTTTAAAGACTAAACTATTATTCTTTGAGTCAATAGGATATGGCCTTAGGCAGGTTGATATAAGATGTTTCACAAAATATTTGTTATTTACCATATATACAGTAAGAAAGTAAAATTAGCATGGGATGATCTCAGGAAAGCAATACATATTTCTGGATTAGACACTGAAGTAAAGTAAATGTATGATAAATTGACAAATTCACATTGCCAATGTTATGAAAAATGATGCAGCAAAAAAAATTAAGATGTATCTTTCATTTCCGGTAAGGGGGCTTTTCCTATTAGCTGTTAATTTATCATGTTTTAAACTTCTAAATGAAGCACTAGTGTTACAGAAGCCCAAAGTGAGAGAAACTGCTCACTTTCAAAATGCACATAAGTAGTTTGAAATTGCACCTGGATTTTTTTGTTGTTGTTGTTAGTAGGCCTCTGTTAATAGAGTAGTAGTTGCAAACACTTATGTGGGTTTGCCAGTAACAACTCACAATTTGTGCAAAGTTGAGTCTTCGAAACTGAGCAAATTTGCTCTCAATTTCCCTCCAGCGCTTGCTGAGCTGGATCTGAGTTGGCTCCACTGCCATTGCGGCCCCATCCTCAGACAAGCCCTCAGCTTGCCTACGCACTGCATTCAGCTCCTCTTTCTTCTTCTGCAATTCACGATCAATTTCCTATTGAGCAAAACCAATACAGGGCCCAGGGCAGTTAGCTAACCACATCAACCAACCTGCAAGTAGCAAACACTTCTCTCAGAAATTTCATAGGCTGTTGTTCCTTTATTGTCATCTTTCAAAATTTACAAATATGGAAGGTGTCACTGTCATCCTCACTCAAGAATCCAAATATTATTTTAATTATCATTTGAATGCTCAGTTTTAGACATTCTAATTAGAAAATATGAAATTGATCTAACATTTTCTTTCTTCTGATTCCTCTGGTGCTTTGAGGGTTGACCCACATTGGAGTGATTACTCATTATTTTAGGGACCATCCATATAGAATGTAATTTAGAGGGTAAGTGAATAAGTTATTTTCTTTTAAAGTTTTGAGGAACTCAACAGAGAATGAAGCAAAAAAATGTAAAATAATAATGGAAAACACATCTTCAGACAATATGCAAATAAATCTATAGAGATTTGACAGTGGTGTGTGAAGATGCTCTGATGAAATGAATGTGCTAACATGAGAAAGAAGTCGTCCATATACCGATAAGTCATTAGTTCATCTGGAACAAAGATACACAAAGTCAATTACAATTTTACCAGAAAACACATGACATTTCTTAATTCATTTTACATTGTCTAAAAGCAAAACATTTTATTCATTCAACATTATGTCAACTGAATAACATTTAATACAGTACATTTACTAAAACAAAACACAATACAAAGAAATGCACCAAATCAAAGAGAACATTAATAGAGGCAACAGGAACATTAATATTTTTAATATGATCCTTACAGTTTAAGTTAAAGTAATTAAACTGTAGCAATAAAATCTAGTATTGACATTCTAAAACAACATTACCTTTATTTTCCTTTCATCTCTGGGTTCGGGTAGACTGGCTAATTTTTTTTCAATGTCATCCAAGCATTTCAGGAGATCATCAGCCTGCCTCTTGTACTGATACCACTGATGAGAAATTTCTAGAGCCTTTTTTCTTCTTTGAGACCTCAAATCCTGTTCATGATGCAGATATTATTAAAATATCAATATATAAGTACAGTACACTTCTGGCTGTAGTTATTCATAAAAATAATTTGAGTCCCTCATCTTTTTGTACACTTGTTAAATCACATTTAAATGCTAAAAATACAAATGATTTAATTATGTATTTACATGGCAACACCGAGATACAGAAGCTAAGAAACCTGAACAACACATTTAAAGTATTTTCTCTTAGCATGTTTAAACTTGTTTAGAAATCCCACCATAGTTTTAGTGAGCTAAATAAATTGTTGGGTAGTCTATGTGGAACAGTGTAATATATTAACACAATTCACTTAACTAGATAGTTGCAAAAACAGTGAGTCTCTATTTGACTTTTAAAATACATAAGATTCTAAAATTTACATGTTAAGTCCTGGGCTTATAAACAAAATGTTAAGTTTATATAGCCATGCAGCATACATTCCTGGTTTTAGAAATACCTGAAAATAAAAGTTTGATAGGCCAGTAACACTGTATGATTGAAAATATAAAGTCACTTTAGTTATAAGAATTTTTCAAGCTATATGTGTAGAAGAATGACTATTGTTCATATAATTATAAATATACATAAAGATAGCAATTTAAATATTTTAAATTTCAGTGTTTTAAATATACAAATTATTTTTCTTTCAAGGCTTACATAGCCAACTTTGTATTATCATACCAAATCAAGTTCAAAATATGAAAAGATTAACTATTTTAAAAAGAGATGACAAAGGTGGTTTTAAATCAACCTGATGAGACAAACAAGGGTGACTGGTTTAATGAATCAACAAAGGGGTGAAATCAATCATTTTGCTCCTACAAGCACACTCAGAGTCTTTTATGATCAATGGAATTAGTTGGAATGCCATTTTGTAACTCATGGGAACATAAAAGCTCTGAATAAGCTTTCATTTCTTCAAAGAGGTAGCAATTAGGATATTATGTACCGATTTAACTCCAACTAAAGAAAATACCAAATATCAAAGGGTGGCTGAAAAATTCATTGGCTTGGAAAGTTTTGACCTTCCTTGAAATATTTCATAAGGACTAGCATGGGAACTTCTTGGCGGATTAATATATTTACCGAATTTCGTGGTGTAAATTATTTTGGCCAGTACAATTTATGATTTCCAATAATCGCCTGTAGGATACATTTGTGTGAATGATCAAGACCTCCTGCTTTATTTTGTTTAAAAGTGGGGATATGAAATTTAGTGCAGTTTACATTTTATGTTGTATTTCTCACCCTCCTGTAGAGGTAATAAATGCCTGCACAGAGTCAAAAGGGATGCTGCTTTTTTCAAAGGTACCAAGATACAGCCACGTGAATTAAAATTGAGCTGTGCCTTATTTGTGATACAACTCACATCTCTGCCAAGAGAAAAGGGTTTGGTAGTAATAAATCTGAAACTCCTTCGATTTTGTAAGCACAAAATGATGTGTAATATGCAAAAATAGAGATATTATATAGATTTCTTAATAGGTATGCCAGATAACCATTAAACACTGCTGTTTGGTAGGACACGTGTCATCATGTGACCAGTATAAATGCTTTTGAAGTCTTGGTCACAGTCACAAAGGTGTGAGTTATAGAGTTTTCTGATTTTCTGAATCCATTTGATTTGCTTTTGCATTTCCCTCCAGGAAGAGTCCTTTTCTATTTACTATATTTATCAGCAGTTACCTTCTGAGCACCTGCTGGCCAATTAGACTTTCCTCATGGATTCCTTACAGGCACAATATTGTGTAATTACATTCTCAGCAGTGTTTATTTGGTTGACTATAGGGAAACAGGTTTTATCCTCTCATTTGCATACAGAAAGCAGATTCCAGCCACCTACTAGGCGGACCTACCTATCTACATAGCTCTAAAAGAGTGATTTACAATGAAGAGCTTGGCAATTAACAGTATTAGAAAATCAGCCATGCATGCAAACAGTGAATATTGCAAAGCATATACAAAAAAGGTTGTTTCACAAAACTTTTCATACATCCAGTCTCAAGAACTTCCTAAAGATTCATTATAATAGGGAAAAAAACCAACAATGTATTCTGTTTTTCTGCACAATCCAGATGAGTCATATGGTTACATGAAAGTAGCAGTTCTTCTTCAAGGGCATTACAAATATTTTTGAGGATTCCTATATAAATGAAATTAGACTCTTATAGATGCTTAGTTAGTTGCAAAGAGTGACTCTCTTAAAGGCACAATAAACTTTATTTTTTAGAAAAATGAGGAACATCCAGGCCTTAATAAATAAATATTAGGACACCAAAACCCTGGACTTACAATAACATTAAGAAAAAAAATAGAGTAAAGGAGGCAGGGAAAAATCAAAATATATGTTGGTTATTCTGGCAGTTAAGGAAGCTTTCTCAATACAAATACAAATGTTGTTTATAAACTATATTAGAAAATTAAATGTATAAATACTATGAATGATACATTTTGATACCTTTCAATATTATTCATAAAAATCTGAAAACATCTTTTAAGTGACATCTTTTAAAATTAGAAAACACACAAAAATGCTATCTAAAGCACACGTATGAACAGAAAAAATTGAATTTTGTGACTAAGATTCTTAAGCAGATTTTATTTATGCACAATAAATAAATTTTACCCTACATATGAAAAAAACCACAGGCAAGGTATATTATAATTTTAGCTCTAATACCTTGAGAGCATTATGTTTTGTCTGTAACAGCTGCTGTTTTATCTTTATTTCCTCTCGCTTTCTCTCATCTGTGATTCTTTGTTGTAAGTTGTCTCCTCTTTGCAACAATTCTTTTACAGTACCCTCATTGTCTTCACTCTGATTAAAAACAACAAGTACAGTCTTCATTTTGGTTTTTTTTTTTTTAAAGCTGTACATTGTTAACAGAGATAATAAAACATGTTATCTAAGCACACACAAAAACTCCAATTTTAAAACTTTTAGGGAACTTTCTTAAAAGATACAATGGTTATACCTTTTCTTTTATTATTTTTATACTTTAGAGTTTAAAAGAAGTAAGTTTCCCCCATCTAGTTCTACAGAACAATTTTAGGGGCATATATACGAAAATGAAGGAGTAAAGGTACTTTCTCATCAGGTAAATGAACTGTCTTGAAAGTTTGTTTCGGCTTTTTTAGTACAGTTCTAGAAATTAAAGTTTGTACAAATAAACTAACCTTGTTATTTGTAATGTTAACTCATCCATATAATTAAATGGATGTGTGTATGTGTATGAAAAATGGTAAAAAATTTAAATACTAATATGCTACTAAATGAGAATACATTTAAATGTACAGAAATTTTTAAATCTAATAATCTGTTTTATATTTGAAATCTCAGCATTCAGATTTAGGACATGAGGAATTTGTAAAAAATGATGTAGTGAATTGCTGTCAAATATTGCAAATTGTTTATAAAATGTGATAGTATGTGAACTTTAAATAAATAAGTGTTAAAATATGGATTGAGAAAATAGCTTCAAATATTTTAATGTGTAATTTGTTTTTATACTCTAAAATAATATTTTAATTTTATATACTTAAAAGTGAAATAATTTGAGTACATGCTGGTCTAATATAGGTATATATGTGACTATTTGGCTTTTCATCCCTAATTTTGTATTTTTCAATTTAAAATATGAAACAATCTATTAAGGAGGCTTTCCATGCAATGCTACTGAAGGTATGAAATGCTAAGGTTAAAAAATGACCATATCATATGTTTGGGTAATTTTATATTATTTTTTATGGTATTAGATGTAATAATATTTAAATCTTTAATACCTATTTGAACTTCAATACGCAACTCAGGCCCTACTGATTTTGCTTAGAAGAAATGGGATTTTTTTCTGAGATTTGCTGATTAATAGTCTATTGAAATATATACAATAATATGGACATATTCATAGTCTATAAAAGACCTTACTTATTTTATTATGCCTTTCAAAAATCTGCAACATTTTCTAAGGACAAAAAAATTTAAACAAAATAGATTTCACTTATTTCCCCTTAACCAGGCAAGGGCTATAGGACAGTGTTTGTGATCAAGCCAAGAAGTAAGCAGTACTTTTCATCTTGGTGCCCTCTGCTTTCTTCTTTAACATGAAGTAGAGATAGTTGGAATTCAGTATCTTGGAAAGCTCTTCTTGTCTTTCTTTCCATGAGCTGAGTTGGCAAGACCACCAAAGCCCATTCATGGCAAGTATGAACTTGGGCAGCTCCAGGAAATCAGAAGTGATACCAGTGGGAACTAAGAGTGGTAGGTGAAAATATTTCTCCTATTGTTTCACATGGCTATTTTCTAAAATTGATATATTGCCTTCTGATGTTGCTTGCAAGCATTGTTTGAGAAGACTCTAGCATTAATACATCTCTGAAAATCTCCAGAATGATGCATGTAAAGGTTAAGAATGCCACAGAGGTGATGGCAGTGAACAAGGAGAAAAAAAAAACTGTGGAAAGGAGGGTGAAGGGAAGAATAAAAGTCAGTGAATAGGGATGTGATACAGAAGTAATTAAGCCAGAGCAAAACATCAAAGGCATCTTGAAATTGTGATTGAAGGAGAATGTTCTTAGTTAATAAGTAGCCCACATGGTCATATTTCTTTACTCCTATGAAATAAGCAGCATGGCATATTTTAATCATATACTATACTATTTACTTATTTTTTTGTTAAAATAACTTTGTAGGAAACTTTGGTAAACAAAATATATATTGTGTAAATTTGGACCTTCTATGACCAAACACATGACTGACACAAAACATGAGCTATCTATGATAGCTGAAATTCTTATTAAATGTCTAGTTTATTTTCTGATTGACTATTTCTATTACATATTTCCCTCCAAGTTCAAAAACAGCACAGGTCAAAATAAATTTAAGTATATTTTAGAGTGTGTAATTGCTCCTATATGACCAGACCATAGTAATTTGGCATTTGATATAAAAGGTCAACAAGAATACTTTGCATTTCTAAAAATCAGTAGAATCATATAATGTGTGAGGTATATTCTGAGAATTCAGTTGGAGATCTGAAGTATATAATTTCTTTCTACTTTTTTTTTTCATTTTTACTCCTAGTTCATTCACACTTTATCACAACCAATTTACCATATCTTTATTGAAGTCTTCCTCTTTCAGATTCACCCCCTGCTGAATTTCAGCCTCCAGTGGTTCAAGCAATTTTTGTATATCTGAGTTAAACTGCTCCAATTCCTTCAAAGGAATGGAGGCCTAAAAAAAAAGATAGTGCTAATTTAAATCAAAATTACTTTTTATTAGAAACACATACCAAAAGAAATACATTTATTCAACCTCCTGTGGCTAAACTAATGACATGCATTATGTTTCCATATCATATTTTATGAAGGATTTGAAATACAACTGAGAAAGTACCTGCAGATGCAAATAAGGACAAACATTTAACATCACCAGAGCTGAACATACATGCAAGATAATGCAATTCATCATTCTGTGGTATCAAAAAAGGCAATTTACATAAATTTTGCTGTACTAATTTTTAATATTCTAACCTCAAATTCAATCTTATATTAAATAGTCTGATATAGATATCATTTGAGCAAAAATGTCTTATCAAAAATTACTTCATTCATCAAATAACAGTAACCTCAGGTAGAAATGTATAATTGTCACCCTATCCTTAGAAAAACTACATGGCAATCTGCTCAGCTATCTTAAATGTCATTTTTTGCATGGCAAAATTGACAAGCATGGTCTTCTAAGACAAACAATGCCATTAGCTTGCCTTCAGGAACGTTTTCTTAGATGGCACATATATATTCACATGAATGAACTTAGAATATTTAACATAAAAAGTCTAAGTATATGTTTTCAACCTTTTCAAATATAACAGTTTAATTTGGAAACTCATATTGACCAGTTTCAAAAAACTTGAATATCCTTTGATTTGCTTCATGAAACACATGAAAAAGGAGTGATGAATGAAAAGACATTCAAATTCAAAAATTCAAAAGATGGGGCAACATTTAATCATTAAAGTTCTGTTAATAAAATACACTTTTACTCTCCTGATATTTATTCTGTATTTAATTTCTTCCCATTAATTATAACACTGGAAAATAACTTTATGCTGAATATAGTTTTAAAACCCAGAGATGAAATATAGAAATCTGATTTTCTTCAGAGCTATTTTACATAATAGAACTAATTCAGAAATAACTCTTAGTGTCTTATGCCCAGGATGATTGCATTCATCAACTTTGATCCCCACATGTTCTTTCCCAGTCACATTTTCAGCCATAGGTCTTTCCTATCTTTATTAGATGCAAACAGCCAAAGGACAATAAGGTAAGTTTTCAAGGACAAATCAAATATGTAATGGTAGTCTGTCACTAATGAGTAAGTGAATAACCAAATGGTATTCATGGGGGAGCATGATTCTCACATGCAACATGAATAAACATAAAAAAATATAATCTAGGCATTTCTATATACCCCAGAAAGGATCTATGGAGTCTTTTAAAATGTGACTTAGTAAAAACTCATTTTTAATTCCCAATAATCATTGTCATTGGAAATAATAGTTACTTGAAGTACTACAGGATCCCATGAAAACAGAAGAGAAGGGAGGAGATGAAGGGGGGTAAGAGGAAATGAGGAGGAACTAGAGAAGGGAGGAAACTAGAGAAGGTGAAGGGAATTTCATTCAGTCAGTAAATAAAACTGACTAAACTGCTACATGCATGCATGAATATGTCCCAATGAATTGTGATTTTATGTATAACTATAAAGCACATAAAAACCCAAATAAATAGAAGGAAAACCAGTAAATAAAGGGGAGAAGAGAGAGGTGTGAGGGTAGGGAAAAGAGAAATACTGGGACTTAAATCAAGCCAATTGTATTATATTCATGTAGGAATATCTCAAAGTGAACTCCACTATTGCATGTAACTATAATGAACTAACAAAAACATTAATATCAATAATGATAGTAAAAGGGAGATCAGTAGATTAGAGCAAGTGGTTCAGGGGGAGGGAGGAGAAGAGAGAAAGTAAATTCTGGGGAATGATATTGGTCAAATTATCTTATGTGTATGTATGAATACAGCATAATGAATCCCAATATTGTATATAATTTTTACATGGCAATACATTTTTTTAAAATAAGCTTTAAGAATATTTCAAGATATTACTAACATAGTCCTTAGTTCAATCCTCAAATACTGTTCAAAGTATTTTAAAGGTAAAATTATTACCACCCTTGTTTTGAATACCATCCTTTAGAATTTTAACTACACAATACCAATTTAATAGTGTTATGTTATTAAACTATTCTTCACGTTTGCTGATTTTAATAAGAGAAACTACATTTTTTCTACTTGATTTTGTGAGCATACAATGATAAATGTTTAAAATAATTTTTATTGAGTACTTGGATATCAAAATAACATGGATATATTTGCAGTCAGATTTACCTTTTTGGTCTGCCTGCATCCTCTCTAGCTTATCTTCTCTCCATATACTGATAGTATTTTCAAAGGCCCTAAATTTGGACCTCTGTACCCCTTTCCCAATGCTTCTCCCATAATAAAATATATTTTCTTCCATGATTTTAACTATAAGATTTGTGCTTCTCAAACTGTTATAAAGACAAACTGTGATCTCACTTCTGAATTCCAGTCTAGACTAGAAATTAGCTAATTTCTCACCTGAATTTCAATCTACCTAGAACTAAGCTATTTAACTTCCCCCAAACTTCTTACAACACTAACTTTCCTAGTTCTGTAAATGGATCATTTTTCTTAGTCATCCATGTTTAAAACATAAGTCATGTCATTCATTCTTGAATATCTTTTTCTAATAAGTATCAGTAAGTGTTAATTAATTTTCTATGATCCACTTGCTTTGTATTCCCAGGCCCATCATCTTTCTGAGCCCTCACATAGGACAGGCAATTACTTTCAGACTAGAATAAAATCTCCTTCCTGCCAAACCAGTTCCAGCCTGTGCACAGTGATCAGGTCAGTATGTCCTCAAATCTTTTTCATTGTACTACTATGTTGTTCCAGAACCTTTCGTACCTGGGGGGTACAGGAAGAATAAAGTTCAAACTCCAGGATGATAGTGAAGGCTTCCCTCAATTTTGTCCCATGGACCTTATTTAATTGTTATCATTATAGTCTTTTGTTGCACACCATTTGATGGTCTGTTATCCCTCCTCAAGTACCTTAAAATTCCTTTGATCTTACGGTGAAGAACACAATGTCTTGTGTAAGAATGTACAGATTGGAAATGTGTTCCACTTTTTAAGAGGTAAGGGGCCTTGGACAAGTTATTTTCTTTGAACCTCAGCTTTTTCATTTGTAACACAAGGGTAAGAATATATATATATCTTATATAAATATATGTTGACTAAAATCTTAGCTCTTGTTGTTTCCTCTCGAAATAATACCCACATATTGCCTTAGTTCAAGATCTTCCTCTTTCGAAAACATGATTTTGAGTAATAAACAAATACTTGTTGATGTAGTGAGTTTTTATTTTACTGAGGGATTTGACAAAATCATGAAGTTCTAATGATGAAAATGAAAATATTTAAACACCAGTTTATGTTGTATCACTCTAGACAACAAAACTATTGATTTATTAATCTGTAATAATATACAAAATGATCTTGAGGAAGATGCCAAGGGCTTTGCACTTGTTTTTTCCCTGGGTAGCAGTTAAGATTTGAAGAAACAAAACTTATGCAAAAATTACAAAGTTAGTGAGATGAGTTACATGAATATCCATGGAAATGAGGCATTTTTGTTATTCTACCAAAATTTATTCTTGCCACATAGTAGGCACTCAAAAAATATTTTCTGAAAAAATAAACAAAGAATGACTAATGATGGGGTAGCAGAGTAAACATTTTGAAGAGTCCTTTAAATAATACAATTTACATGTAGAATTTTCAAAAGACCTGTCTAGGTAGGAAATATATTAACAAATGGCCAAATGCTAGGAATACCATGATGCCATCTAGTGCCAAAACAGAAGATGTGAGAAGACTTTAGGTACTATTAAAAATAAGTAATTATTCAGGCAAGATAATGGAGGGTTAGACTTCATTAGAAGGATGTATGGGGTCTAGATTCCTTGACCAAAGACAAGGAAAAGGTCATTATGCAGATTAGGGTTTGAATTACTTTGTGTAGTTCAAAATGAATGACTAGAATAAATGGGTACAAATTATTTGGAGCCTGAGTTTTAGGCAAATATGATAATAATTTATTAAGGTTGGAATATTTTTAAGCAGTAATTTTAAGGTAGTGAGTTTCTCATTGCTAAAAATATACAGTCTTGATGATAATAGATCACATCATAATATTGAAATATGACCCTTTTATCATAGATAATTTTCTTAAATTTTTTCACTTTAAAGTACATTCTTTCCTCTAAAACCAGAGTTGTTTAGCTTAAAACAAATATAATAAAAGTCATGGGTAGTTTCAAATTATCTATTTGTCATAATAAAAAACACAAGGAAAATTAATAATATATATTCTTTCACAATGTATCCAACAAGTGATTGGACAAACCTATAATATAAAATTATTAATGTGACATTTTACATTCATTTTTCATATCAAGTCTTCAAAATCCATGTATATTTTATATTTATTGCACATCTTAATTTGTAATATCCATATTTCAAATGATTATTAATCACATGTAGTTTGTGACAACATTATTGAGTGGTGTATATATGTACATACTCTATAAATCACAACATGGATCAAAGCAAATACCTTATTATTTGTTCAAAAAATGTTGTTGGAATAATATCTTACCAAAAAAGTAAAAATATGAACAATTTATTAATCAATGTTTTTGTATTTAGTTTAACCATATAAAGTTAGTCTTCTTCATTTGCACTATGTTTTCTGAGAGGGATTTGTATATAGGAAAACTAACAGGAGTGTGTTTGATCTCCTGTCAGGAGTCTCATTTATGTGTAATCCTAAATTGTGTTGTACTACCTTTCACATGTAAATATGATGTTATTTTATTGTTAAGGATGTATGCTTTGTTTCTCTAAGAGGATTTCAGTCTCTGAGGTTGGCAATATATCTTACAGTACTCTGTATTTTCCAAAACAAATATGATCCCCTTTTTGAATAGAAAGGGTCTTTACTCAGTCAGTTACTGGTTTTAGAACTACCTATAGATTGATTGTCAATGATCAACTTTATAACCAAAATAATCAT